ATTAATTACATTAGAAGTCTAACATAATGCAATAACACAGCTATTGTTATCAGTTTGCGTGTTTTGTATTTAACAAGAATCTAATTAAATCATACATTACATTTCATTTAAAATTATTTTATTAATTTTGTTTTTTGTAAATATATTTTATTTATAAATATAATAAAGCTGACATTTTTCTTGTATCTTGTAATATTTTTATGTGGAAATAATAAAAATCATGAGTTGCTTTACATAATGTAATGTCATTTTTCTTCTGAATTGCTTTTTTGAGCATAATTACTTTCACTTGCGCTATTAGCTGATTAAACTTGACGTAATCTCAGGGGAAGTTGAAAAGGTGTGTCTTTAATATGAAATTCCTTAATAATTTTTTCATCCTACTATTTGACTCGATATTATTGACTGTTATTTATAATTATCTATAATATAACGAAGAAAAATAAGAATAATAAATATATTAATAAATTTGTTAAATTTCTTTAAGCTTTTATATTATATAATAATATAAATAATAAAATAATAATAATTAAAGATATTATATTGTGATTTTAGTTATTATCGACAAAATATGCTCATAGAAATTCTTTTGCAAAAATGATTATCAATTCACCCCTTATTCTGTTTCTAAGTATAGTATATGCTTATATAGAATATATGCATACAATATCTCTATGTATATGCATATAATGAAGAATGATTCAATCTAAAAGAAAAGATAGGTTTGTTTTCATCCTAATCAATCATATAACTATATTCATATTCTTTCTTTTCTTAGTATAATAAATTTTTACAACAATTTTTTAATTCAATCCTCCTATGTTTTATTTTCCAATAAACTTTATTTTTATTTAAATTACATTCTATAAAAGAAGCACAGCTAAATTAATAGAAACTAAATGTTAATTCATATAAAAATTACAATTCTATCCATACACAATCTAATATTTTATACCAATGCATTATTTTTATTATAATATGAAATTCTTTTTAATAAAATCTATAAAATTTATAAAAATTAAATCCATATTTTCTAAACTTAAATGTAATCTATATATATATCTAATACTTAACTTAGATTTAAGTTAAATCTAAATTATATTTAACTAATTCAAATTTTAATCTCATAACTATCTTAGACTTAATCTAAATCCAACTCGTCTTTTTTAAATTATTCAATCCAAATACAATCGTTAATTAAGAAATAATAAAAAGTCTACTAGAGATATATGCAACATCATGATGATATCCTCATCCAACAATGTTTAACAGCCATGCAGAGTTGACATGCGCGTGGAACCGCGTCCGTAAAACGAACAGGGAGAGTGCGCGTTCCTGATCAGTAGTAGCACACTTTCATCGTAGCGAGGAAAGTGAGTAAGTCGAGTGATTCGTTTCGTCCACGTCTGAGGAATCATCCACGCTATACACACGGTATACACGAGCGCGCGCTCTGCCCACGAAAATCATTTGCACGAGTGAGAGAAGCTCTCGTGGCAAAAAAGAGAAAGAAAGAAAGAAAGAGAGGAATAAGCATTAAGAGAAAGGAAGAAACATCTCATCGAATTCCATTCGATCCAGCAAAAATTATCGTTTTTTACCCGTGTAATCGGGTGGGGTGCTTGTTAAGAGAACGAATTACTCAAGAAAGTCGAAATAAGAAGGAATTAATAATTGTGTAGCGTTTGCTCGTATAGAGAAATACGATTAGAAAAATACGGTATAAAATAATATTTAATACTGACAAATATGTTTATTATATGTATATTATATATATATATATATATATATATATAATATATATATATGTATAAAAGTAAGAAAATTATATAATAGTGATTAATATCGAATAATATTCTCGATAGAATGAACAAAGAAAGAAAAAAAAATGATTCATGAAGTCGCGTGTCCATTCGGTTTCGCCCTTTCCAAGGGGAGAATAGAGGAGGCGTGAGGTAGATGAATCATTGAGTCGGCCTCTGACGTGTCAAATAAAAGAGGGAGGCGATCGAAGAATCAAAGCGGGGCAAGGTTGCAAACCAAGTAAGAACTTATTTCCATGTCTAGGATTGGTTCATGTTCATATGAAATGTGAACGAAAGTAATATGATTAATATTATAGAATTTGTGAACAGGGTGAATTTATTCAATTTAAAATGGCTAACGATTTTATTATACACACGCTACTTTTATTTGATATTATTGGAGAAAAAATTCGTTTAGAGAAATTGATTTTTTTTCTGTCGAGTATTAGATGTATATGCTAATTTAATGATTGTTAGAATTTTCTCGTAAAATTTGTTTATATACTTTCAGATTATTGATATTAGATCTAAAAAAATAATTTTTCATTTAAGAAAATGTATATCTTTATATTTATGATAATATTTAATTTTATTTTCAAAATTTTCTTTATTAATTGCTATATTATAGAATATATTATAGAATAATTTTATATAAATTTTTCTTTTTCTTTTTTTATTTCTTTAGTTTCCAACAACTAAGTAATTATATTGAAAGATGAGTAAAAATAACGAGAATGGAATATCTCTGGCAACACCTCCAGCTATTCACGTTGGTCCGATAGTGAATCCAGGCACTAACGAGACCATTTCTATCGTAATACCGTTAGCAACTGTTACCAGTCAAAAAATTGAAAATTCATGCAAAGATTGTAATAAAGATGTCAAACATTCCTCCAACAATGTCAATTCTCGGCCAAAAAACGATAAAACCAAGGGATGTCCTTATCCTGGTTGCACCAGGTATGGTAGAGCTTTCTCTAGGGCACACGATCTGAAACGCCATATTGCTCGTCATGAAATGAGAAAAGAAAAATTATGTGATTATGAAAATTATAAGCAACGACAAAATGATAAAGAAAGTATTGAGAGTATAACAAATGGAATAATCAATAGACAACATATTGTTTGGAATAACGAATCACATGAAAAATCTTATTCCTGTTTACACTGCAAGAGGAAGTACACTAGCGAGATCAAACTTAAGGCTCATATGAGTTCTCATGAAAAGGTATGTGAAAATTATGTATATTTTTAAAATCAATAGAAGAAGTTGGAATAAATATAAGAAAATATTACATTTTCAATTATCCATATTAAATAGATATATCTTGTTCAGATAATCAATAATTTTGTTTTAATATAAAATACCAAGTATATAATAGCATTCATTATTCAATGCAATCAAAAAATTTCTCAGAATTCAGAATAGATCTAGATTAAATTACTTTCTATTTTCGTAATCATCTTTTTATCAATAAACATAAATTAATCAGTTTCTTTGTTAGTCTGACAACAAAAGAAACTTTATTTATTAATCACGCATTTTAATATCAGATCTATCCATATTTATATTATCAATATTTAACAGATTCCAGGCAAAAATATGTGTGCTCTATGTGGAACATGTTCCCGAAACGAAGAAGAATTACAAGAGCACATGAAACAGCATACAACAAATATATTAGAATCTCAAACAGCATTAGAGAATAGTGAAAAAGAACAACCAGACAAAGAAGATGACTTTCTGCTCGAGGAAATGTTACTTCTCAATAAAAATCCACGAAGAACTATGCAACAAGAAAAAAATAATTCAAATACAGTATCCAAGATAAGATGTGACTATTGTTCTAAAACTTTCAAGACCAAATGGACATTGAGCTCCCACGTAGCAGCTCACGAAGGCCGTTTTCAATTTGATTGCGGTCAATGTGGTAAAAAATTCGTCAGAAAAAGCCATTACGAAGGTCATATGAGATCCCATGAGGCTGCAAGACCCTATGTTTGCGAACAATGTGGAAAAACATTTAAAGAATTGAAACACAGAAGAGAACATACTAAAAGGAAACATCCTACCAATCAAAACGCAATCCAAACACTTCTGGATAGTATCAGCCCTTGTGGATCTGAGGAAGTACCAGTGGATCAAACGAAGTTCACGCTTTTGATGCCTGTTAATTTTTCCGTGTAGTCTTGAACATGATTTATCCTGAAATAGTTAAAAATGATAGATAAATGCGTAATCTTGTTAAGTATGGAGAACGATAAAAATTTTGTTTTAATATGATACAAGAATTTTGACATTAATTTTGATTTTAAATTTAGATGTTAAATCCTTTTTTAATGCGGATTAACGAAACAGGGTTTGAGAACTAAAGTAAGATTTAAAATAAAAGTAGAGAAAGTTTCTGAAGGATTGTCCTTTTATAATAAGGAAATTGTATATTGTGGAATGATATATATTGTGAAATGAAATTGAATGAGAAATTATTTTTATGAAATTTTTATTATTTTAGACTTTATTAATTTTCAATGAATTATTTATTTCACAATATATAGGAAATTGATGATGTATAGTCACAATTGTAATTATTCTTGTACATTCAAAATTGCGATTATAATTTGAATAATTTTAAGATTCTATTTTTTTGTGTCAATAATTAAAAAAACTGTATATTATTTCTTGAAATATACAGAATAGATAAACTAAAGACAATCTCAATATAAAAATGATATACAAGTTGTACATATATGATTCTAATAAATCAGTCATTATAAAAAATAAATATTTATTATTTTCGATAATGATTATCATCACTTTCATTAATATGAAAATTTTATTAATTTGAAAATTTAATTGATATGAAAAAAATATAATAGCCTGTACAAAAATTGTAAAACAAGAATCGAAGTAAAAGTAAAAACTCGATTAAAACGATAGCTGCATATCGCTTTTGTTTTGCCTTGTCTGACATTTTTAGTTTTATTAAATTTTTATCCAAAGGCAACGTTTTAATTAGGACAAAGTGTAATGTAATAACGAGGAAAACTCAATTAGTTATTTAACATCATAACGACGAAAAGAAAGAAGAAAAAAAACAAAAAATAGCAAAGTAGCATCGACTGCCAAACATCAAAGGATATCATCAATTTATATCCTCCATTTCTTTTCCTCCTTTTAATGTTCCTCCATTTTAAATGAATGTGAATAAACGAGCAAAAATACCAATTATAAAATGCGATCAATACCAGGAATCGCAAATAGATCAAGAAAAATTCCAGAAAGAAGAGAATTATTATGGCTATGCGTTGGACACGCTTCCGCCGGAAGTTTTGGAGATGATTCTTCGATTACTTCCTCTTCATGATGTAGCCACTACCGTGCGTTTGGTTTCTAGGTGATTTTTTAAATGTTATTGTTTATTTCGGTGTTCTTCATTAATTTATCATCTACGAAATTTATCTATCTACGAAAAAAAATTTTTTTTATAAAATATGATATTTTACTTTATTGTGTACCATTATATTTTTAATTTTAAAAAGATTAATTTAAGATTTCATATATTTTTCCTCTGTACTTACCTACAAGGTTTAATCATAATTGCTATTTTAATTTTGAGATTATTTAATAAAATTAATAAATTTTATCCTATATATATTATTTCGATCTATATATTTTCATATCCTATATATTTTATCCTATATGTATTTTAAAAGATCATTATTTTTATGTTTTTTAGACATTGCTCTACGGTAGCGGCTGCAGTTTTAAATGGAGCTTTTCTTACCGCCTGCACGAAAGTAGAAGGATTGATAAGACGTAATGAAGAGCTAATGAAAAATGCAAAAACAGATACCGAATTATTGGCTTATAGCAAAGCTCTGAATGCTCTAGAATTGATTAAAGCGCAATATAAAATGTTACGAGCCGTGACGTGGAGATATACACATCCACCATCGAAGCAACAAAAATTTTCGCGACTTTGTTTCTACGCGGGCAGTTTACTTGACAACCTGAATGAACTTCTTAACCGAATTGCAAACTATCACCCATCTATTATCGGTCCTCGTACCTCGGAATCGAGTGTCACTTCTTTTATAGCCGTCTGTAAACGATTTATGAATTTTTTCGAAAAAGTCTCTGAGCGCAGGGTAAACAGGTGAATTATTTTATAAAAGGATACTAGCCTTGGTACTACGATTCAAATTTTTAATCTTTTTTTCTCTTCGGCCATATGATAAAAAATATTGAATAATTTCAAACGAATCTTAATATCTCAACTAATCCATAAAAATTTAATTTTTTCCAATTATTTTTAGTATACAGAAAATAATTTCTAAATTTTGCTTACATTTATGGATTAAAATGTTACGCGACGAAATAATATTAGTAGATCGGCCCTAATCTCCGGATGCAAGGTCGTAGATGTTTTGGATTGTCTCGTAGAAGGTCGACAAGTACTATTTTTCAAAGTATCATCTAACAGAAGAGGTCTCGGTGGAGCTGTAAGCATGAAACTGAAATACACAATGAAACGTGCTTGGTTTACCTGTTTAGAAGTTACAAAAAATACCGAAGAGAACTCTTGGAGGGACGAACAACGTTTCATGTATCTTCGATTACGACGTCTAGTGGGTAGTGTGAACGAGCATCTCTTCGAGAATTTACATTACGAACACGAACTACTCTTACAGGTTATATTTACAAAGGCGAGAGAAACAAAGCACGAAACGAAGTATTATCATCGATAAATAGTTCTATCGATATTCTTTCCTTCCTAGATTCCTTTGACACTTCCACTAAGACCTCCACCAGCTTCCACTTACTCGGGATACGGAGAGTACGGTGGACGTTTCTTTTACTATGGAAATATGAATAAATATGCATATGAAAGTAAATTTATGCATACAGTGAGCACGGCAAATCTAACAGTCGAAACTGAACAACAGGTCCAGAGACCACCATCATTTGATCTAGTGATTGAGGTTGATTTAAAGTGCACACCAGAATTAGCGCCACTTGCTGTCAGATCGATTTTAAAATCTGATGAATTTGAAACCAATGAATCAAAAACACACAAGAATCAGCAGCTCTATTTACGAATGAATGTCATATGCTCAGCGTCGATAGCTAATAGATTACCTGGTAATTTTGTGTGGGAATTGCGTAGCCCACGATATGTATGTCAAAATTTGTGAATTACCTCGGTTTTTACATTAAAATATTACACTATAAAATATTGTAAGCACATACATTCGTAATCATATACACGTACACATATATACACACATACGCGTGTATATATATGTATATATATTGAAATTATACAATTATATGTCTTATATTAATTTTTATTGCATTAGCTATATGTGTGTGTATGTGTATATATATATATATATATATATATATATATATACACAAGTAAAATATTTAATAATAGATATTGATAAAAGAATAATAAAATACTTTACATATGAATGAGAAAAATTAATATTTATATAAACATTATTACAACATATTATACAGATAGTAAGAAATTATGAAACTGAGTACTGAAACTATGCACTTTTATTTATATACTTTTATTTATATATTTAATATAAAAATTAATTTCTACTATACATTTCGGTAGAAGTTTCTTCCTCGTGACTTGTCTCCGATAAAACTGACCATGTTGTAGTGTTCAATTTCTTAGCGCGATTTTCCAATAAACCATAAGCAAATTGATTCAAAAGAATTCCTTTAGGTAGCGCTATACCTTGAAATCTATATAGATTTTCTTTATCCGGAACTTCATGAACAGCAGCAATCGTACAGCGTCCTACTAATGAAGTATTTCCTATCATAGGTCCTTTACTAATATCTATATGATTTCCAATTCTATATAAAGTAATTTTATTGTTGTTAGATTTTACAATTTCTGGTATTTGTGTTAGTTTTATAGGATTATCCTGGAATATATCAAGTGCTATGCTTTCTGTAGTATCTATCCTCTCTATAGGTAATTCCTGATTTACTAGTTTTATATACTGAGCAGATAATGCACGCATTTCTTGATCTGTAGGCTTCCAATTAATTAAATCAAGATATACATCATATACGAAACTGCCTGATTTTATGACTGGTATTGGAAAACTATGTAAATGAATTTTTATATCTGGCTTAAATGCCATATCTATAACAGCACCCAAAATAAAGGAACAAGTTCGCCAAAATGCTGAATTCACTATTTTGTTTTCTGGACTAAGCAAATTTAATAATTTTAATTTACAGTCTGATGTTAAAGGTTTGTTCATATCCCACGGTGATCCATTAACTAAAGCAAGAGCAGATACTTTAGATAAACCTTCAGAGATATGTCTTGCACAATCTGTAGGAGTTGATATACATTTATTCATTATAAGAGTTATTTCTTCCACAGGAGATTGATATTTGACTTCTATCTTTTCAATCCTTCCTACTTCAATCCTTTGTTTTTTCTTCTCTTTTTCAAATAATAAATTTTGTTTTTCCTTTATTTCAATTTTTGATAACAAGCTTTTATATCTTGATTGTATATTTGACGCTAAATGTAAATTTTTATAACTGAAATATAAAATTTATAAATTAATATAACTAAAAAATTTAAATCATTAATTTTAAAATTTAATATTTCGTAATATCAATATCGGTTAAAATAGGTTATGGACATACCGTTGAAACATATTGAAATATATATACAATAAAAATTTCTTATAGCTAATTTATGTTTTGTAAAATATGTATTTTTAATAGTTTAATTTTATTTTGTTTTTTTCATTCAATGAAATAAAATTCATTTAAAAACTCGACCAATCAACTCGACAATTCATGATTGAAAACCTAGAAATAGTAAATCATATATTATAATTTAAATATTCTATGAATTTATTTGTCAAAACAATTTTATCATTAAATTTTCGCACATAAAAAATTATTAATATAACTGAAATTTCATAATTTTTAGTATAAATTATCTAAATATAATTTAGATAATATAATACATGATTTTCTGTTATAGTTTTATGAATTATTTTTATACTTAAAAATAATTGTTAAACATTAAACTTTAATAATTGCTTTTAAAATAAAATATAAAGTAATTTTATATTTTATAATATTTAAAATCCATAATAAGTACTTTAAATTAATAATAATCAACTTTCTTATAAATTTATAAAAATCTTGCAACTTAAAAGGCGGATATACATGAATGATATATAAATAATATTCAGTTTTTATGTATATAATTTGTATGAAAGAGATTCTATTTTATTCGATTTATCAAACTATCTTTTCTATTCTATATTTCTATTGTTTAAAAATTATTGTATCAAAATAAAGAACAATAATCTTTATATAACAATTAAACAATTGATTGTTATTGTCATTATTTATTCTACATACGGAATTAGTTAGGTGTATTTGTACGATGTTGATGTTCTGTCCGACATGTGGTAATGTGCTTCGAGTGGAAGAAGCTTTGGCAGGATTACGTTTCGCATGTAGCACATGTCCTTACGTATTTAATATTGAAAGAAAATTAAGCAGCCGTACATATCCAAAATTAAAAGAAGTTGATGATGTACTAGGTGGAAGCGAGGCTTGGGACAACGTTGATTCTACAGACGAACGATGTCCAAAATGTTCTCATCCACGAGCATATTTCATGCAGATTCAAACTAGATCCGCTGATGAGCCTATGACAACGTTCTATAGATGTTGCAATCCTCAATGTGCTCACAATTGGCGCGATTAAAGGTAATTTAATAATATTAATAATAATATATAAATAAATTAATAAATTAATAAATATATAAACAATATATAAATAATATAAACTTTATTAATCATTAAAAATTTTAATTTTTATATTTGCTAATTATTTGTATATCTATATATATTATATATTTGAATAAATTATTTCAATGAATTGCATCATGATATAATTTATATCACTAATAAAGTAAATTTTATCAATATCTTTTCATGATTTTCAATAATATATTTTTTTTGGAAAGATTTTGAATCATCTATTGCAAATATAATAATTATCTTTTCATTATTTAAAATTAACAAATTTTTTATTTTGCAAATATAGTTTTATTTCTTACTTGGTGGAAAGAGAACAATTATGAGTATATATAAAGTGGGTGCAATGACTAATTTCTTGAATGCAGCTCCAAATGAAATAGAAGTGTCAAAAAATTTTAATAATCATCACTGGATATGTAAAGGAAAACGAAGTTTAGCAATAGCTGTCACATTGCTGCAACAAAATGAAATTATAGCAATCCCAACAGATACAATATATGGTTTTGCTGGTATTGTATCAAGTACTAGCTCTATTAAAAAACTCTATGAAATTAAAAAACGTGATAAAGATAAACCATTATCTATTTCTATTAGCAATGTAAATGATATAAAAAAATGGGGTATTGTTGATCATTTACCACAAGATTTATTACCAATTTTATTACCTGGACCAATTACAATTATTTTAAAACGAACACCAGCTTTAAATCCTGCTTTAAATCCTAATCATGATACAGTAGGCATTCGGATTCCTTATTTCAAATTTATAAATTATGTTTCTGAAATAGTGGGACCTTTAGCTTTAACAAGTGCTAATTTAAGCAATGAAACAAGTTGCTTATATGCTTCAGAATTTCAAAATTTATGGCCCATGTTAGGTGGAATATTTTATGATTCCACAAAATTTGGTAAATCATGTTCAAAATTGAGAAAAGGATCAACAATTGTTGATTTAAGCAAACCAGGATATTACGAAATTGTTCGTGCTGGAGTTCATGTAAATGGCATTTGTTCAATATTAAAAAAATTTGGAATATTACAAAAATATTCCAATTAAATACATCATTATGATCTCAATGCATTTTGATCCATATTTTTAACATTTATAAACAATGTAATAGAACTAAGTTCAAATAAAAAAATTAAATAATTCATAATATAATTTATAGTTTATTTATTTTTGTAAATTTTAATTATATGATGTTATGAATATTGTATGTATTAAAAATAATAATATATAATATAATATATATATATATATTAAATATATAATAAAATAAGAAATTTTATTTTTTTGTTGTTTAAAATATATAAAAGTAAATAGCAAATATTTTTTTACATCTGTATGTTGTAAAATTATTATTTTTTATTTACGAATCTACTTATGTGTACAAAGAATTCCCAATAGAGAATTCAAATCTTATAAACAAATCCACACATATGTGGTAATATATATATGTTAACAAGTATTAAACAATATTTTATATCCTGAGATATTATTCTGGTTAAATATGTTAATAATTAGTTAATGAGTATATTTTTACTGTTTTCTTTTTCTTAACAACATCATATTGTCTCTTTGACAAGATACATATCACATAGTATATTTGGGTAAGATATTATTTCATTGCTTATCAAATATTAAACGCAATTAAGAAACAAAAAGAAATTCGTTTTTTAAGTTAAATAAATAATTTTAAAGCACTAATATTTCAGTGAATTAACAAGAAATAAATCAGTCAAGATAATAACATTTTAAAATTTAAATGTTATCATACATGCAGTCTGTGTGCATTTTAAAATGCATATTATGTTTGTTATAAGTGTATTTACATTTAAAACTTTTAACAAACTCATGATTTTTCATAAAAACTTGATCAATAAAATGCATTCAAACGCAATTATTAAATTAAGACTATTATAGAACACAGTACATAATTTTTTACATATATTATTTGATTGAAAAATTAAATTAGGCACATTTGAGGGCCTATATATCCTTTTCTAAAAAATGAAAATTCATCATTCAAATTTCTAAAAGTGTAATCTAAACATTCATTTATGCTTAATTAATGTATTTAATATTATTCAAATAACAATCACTATTTAAAAAAAGAAATTTTAACATTTGTTTTTCATTTCTAATAATAGTAGAGTAAAAAATTCTATATTGAGAATTCTTTTATTTCCTAGACACTCCTACATATGTGTCTTTATCACAATATTGCGTTGTTTTTATTTTGAGTTCACATATTAAGTAAAGTTTCTTATACAAGATTGGTATGTATATTTTGAGTAAATAATTATTAAAATAGTGATTGTATAATAAATAATTAATTGTGATTAAATGATTATACATATACACACATATGCATACACATACACGCATAATACACACACAAAATGTTATGTATGGTCTGTTCAGAGAATATGTTTATAAAATCAGTAAAAAACATTCATAAATGAAATTTTTCATAAAATGAAAAAAATTATAAGTATTCTGAAAACTGAAACGAGCAAGTTAAGATATATGCAAATTCATATTACTAAAAGATTTTAAATAATTGACAATAATTTTTGTCTAAAATGTTAAAGTTTAGTTATTCAAAATAATCAATAAAATTTCGTAATTTATTTATTTCATTAAATAATAAACTAGACAGCAAATATATTCTAAATTATAAATTATTAAATTATAATATATATTTATAAAAGCTAATCAATAGTTTTTATTGCTTAGCATTTTATTGCCTATAATTGAAAATTATATATGAATTTAAAAATATAGGCATAGAATTTAGACATAGGCATAATATTTACAATTGTAATAAACAAAAACAAACAATTAAATAATATTCTTATAGATATGGTTATACTGCAAGCGAATTGTTTATTAATTTATAAAAAATTCGTATCTAGTGTAACCACAATCTTAATCGGTATTGTCGATTGACATAATTTATGATTATACGATATCTCTGGACGGACTATACATATGATAACATATTTGATATATATAATTGAATTTTGCTTAAATAAATTTGAATACATTTTATGAATATCAAGTGCTATCAAAATTAAAATATTTTACGAATGCGGAATTCTAAATAGTTTTAGATATATTTTCTCTCTCGCACACATATATTATATATCTTGTACACATCTATATTATTAACATTATGCGAATACAAAAATTCACATTTTTAAGTTCCATTTTTTTTATTTAACGCAGAATATTGATTTTTATTCTCTGTTTACAACGGAAATCAGTCTAATCTTCTTTCGTAGGACATATTCCTATAGAATTTTTCTTACCGTCACTCTTAAATATTCCTATCAAGCTACTTCTTAATCTGGCATAAATTTCTTTGCGAACAGTCGCCGTAAATTTCGTTACTAAACAACTAATCGCTGCCGTAGCGAAGATTAAATTATAAAATAGTACTAATTTGAAATTACCAAGCCATTCAATACGACCGAAATCGCCGAGCAAATCAAAGTTCGTCATACCTGAAATAAAAAATTCATTATTTATAAAATTATTATAAAATTTTATAAAATTAATTATTATAAATTTTTATTATTATAATATTATTATAAAATTAATTATAAAATTTTATAAAATTATTATTTATAAAATTAATGATAAATTTATTTATTTGAATTCATTTCGAATTATTAAAAAATAGAGTTACCTAATATTCTAGACAACAATGGTAACGCTGAACTCAATACAAGAAGAAGAGCACAATTTGCAATAAGGTGAATAAGAGGTGTGGAATGAAGTCGAGGTCGAACGCGTTTAACACCAGGAAGTGTGTACAAACCTATTGCGCTCGTAGCAGCTAGATACAAAATTACTGCTACTTCAATTGCTGCTCCAATAGGACCTAATTTCGATAATGAGGTGATACCTAGAGTGAATTGCTAAGAATTCGTTAAATATATTATTGTTTGATTATGCAATTCAAAATAAAAATTTCATTCCTTTCTTATGTAATTGATATGTAGTTTGGATACTAACCCTTGTACTCAAAGGTAATGCTTTAATACCAATCAGCAATTCTAATGTGTTTTGAACTGCTAACAAAGCTGTGGCAGTGGAAAGTATAAGTAATGCTAACATGGCCAAAGGATACAGCAAAGTTCGTCGAACCCACCACGTTCGCCTTTGCTGATCCAAAATATTCCTTCGTTTCTGAATATTTTTCAAATACTGAGCTAATCCATGCTGGAGAGCACCATTCCTTAAGCACATTAAGTTTGGATTTGCGTTAAGAAATTCATCATCTTCGAATATTAAACCACAAGTTAATATCGACATAGGCACTGGCGAAACGTATGATTTCCCCGTCGCTTTCGCATGTTGTAATCTGTACATGCAATAACGTTCTTATAAAATAATGAGTTTAAAATTTAAAGATTGTGAAAATAATAATAAATGATTGACCTTCTATGAATACAATCTTCCTCTAATCTATATGCAGAGAATTCTTCATCTAAATTCTTTAGGAACTGCGGTTTTACGAGAAATGAGCCAACTACTCCAAATAACTGTACAAATCCCATTGGTGTACATACTGCAAGAATAAATTATGATTTTATTATTATTTTAACGAAATATGGATGTTTTTTTATATTTTTAATAAGTTTATATTACAGTAATTTTTTAGAATTTAATTTATTAAACTTACGCAATAACATAACAACTCCAACAAAAGAAACGCAAGAGTAAAGAAAAGGCAAATAGTAACTCCATAAATCTAGAAGATATTATATTATAATTTTATTATAATTATAATTTTTATACATTTATTTTTAAAAAATTGTATATTCTTTATATACATACTGAGCAATGTATGTAGGCTAGATTTCTGATAATCTATTAGTGCTGATAAAACATATGTCATTCCTAATACAAGTGTTCCTAATAAACAAAGAACTGTCACAGTTTCATAAACTCTAGCCATTAAACCCTGCAATTAAAAAATTAAAAATTAATTTTTTCTGAAAAACTTAATCTATAAATTTATTGATTTTACAATTTTATCAATTTTATCAATTTTTTATCTTTATTGATCTTACCTTTCTATATCCAATAAATCCTTCTGATTCAGTGAATAAGTATGCAAACGGTAAAAATACGAAGAGAGACAAATTTGAAAAGAGGAATACATGATTCCACAGACCTAATTGTTAAAAAGTTGATTATAATTATATTTTTATATATTTTTAAATGATTTCTATTATAATATTTAAAAAAAAATTAAAGAATTCTTCTTATCTTTTTTTCCAAAAATTATAATACAATAATGGATAAATTTTTTTTATAAATGACTCATGCGTTTATACCTTGTATAAGTGAGCTATTGAGCCACTTAACATAATAACTGTTCGGATATAATATCAACACTTCGTTGCTTGCAATTGAAACCGGAAGCAGCAAGGTTGCTCCGACAGAAACCGCCAGAGCAACGGTACATAACCAAAGACTGATTCTGTAGACCGTTGCTTCATCTTCATCCACGGAAAAATAATCTTCACGGTCTCTTCGTCGAAACTTCGCAATTAAGGCATAGCTTGAAACATAGAGAATCAGGAACAAAAGGAAGAATATCTGTAATGTAAAATATATTTCTTTATATTTTTATGCTTTCATAATTATGATAATTCTTCAGTTTAATTAATTCAGTTTTCTCGATATTTTTTTAATAATTTTATTTTATCAGTAAAAGATAAAATAAATGTCTAGATTGCTAATTTTGATGCTAAATTTGATGCATATTTTGATTAAATATTGCATTTAAGCATGGAATAACAACATAAATCAATTTTCTAGTACCGAATCGCTTTAGTAATGACCATAGAAACAGCGATACGTTTTATTTAAGAACTACAATCGATTGCACTATGATTTGATTTGTGTAATAGAAATGTTTGTGAAAAAATTAATAATGTTATTCACATTGAATAAAGTATTTCCGAATTATTTTTGAATTTTATATAACATTTAAACCTTTCCATTCAACTATTTTATTATCATGTACATTTATATTTTTTTTCTTTATTTTCTATATTTAAAAAAAAAAATGAGAAAAAAATGAATGAAAAAATGGAAAAAAATAAGATTACAATAAAATTCTAAATTATGTTTCAATCATTTAAAATTAATTTTTCTGCAATAGATTGCAAAATCTTTATAATGTTTATGATAGGAAATATTCTATATTTCATTTTAAGTCTAAAATAGAATATTTTACAATAGCAATCACTACGATGCATATTATAAATGCATATGCCTGTGCTAAAGAAAGGAAGAGAGAGAGAGAAAAAAAACAAATTGATATAACTGCAAGTAAACAATATGAAAATGAATGACCTTCAACAAGATTATAAAATTATTTGCGATATTATTTTAGACATTATTTTAGACAATATTTTAGATATTATTTTGCGTCTATTTACAGTTGTATATTGAGACAGTATACTATTATTAATAAGTTTATTTTTATTAAAAACAATATTTACTAAATAAAGTTATGCTAATAATACAATAATACAATGCAAAATTTGAAATATTCTAAATATTCCAAATGCATATGAAAAAGAAAGGCATCAAAATCACTCGTAAAAATTGTGAAGTTAAAAATAAATATCGGGAATCGAAGATTAGTTGCAGCTTTACAAGTGTAACGAAATAATGTATACAATACGTTAAATAAGTTTAATGACGTCAATATTAGGTTAAATTTTACTATCTTATACTTATTACTTATATTACTAAGAAAAAGATACTTTAGTTTTTATAATTACGTGAGACATATACAAATCAAGTACTTGTAAATTATAATTGGAATTTTGAAAGAAAAATCTATGGGTCAATAAAACTATCAATTAGGAATTGAATTTGACATTTTTTGTTAAACTATTTTATCTAAATATTCTCCTAAATTAGATATTAAATATCTAAATACAACCAAGAATTAATAGTTCTTGTTCTAAATTTAAATATTTAATAAATCACTACATTTGTAATAATTTTATTGCAAATATATTTTAAAATAGAAATCGGTTATTTCTATAAATTGTGAACAGCTATATATACCTTCCGGTACAATTATTCTTCCGTATGTTTCATTTGATTATTGAATACATAAGCATCAAATTTCCATTCGTTTCTTTTTTCCTGATATGTCACATAATAAATGGATAGCGTTTCCTTTTAAATGATATCAAAACATTGTAGAAATATATCAGACTATTATAGAAGTGATATCGAATCAATAGAGTTCTTACTTATTAACGTCAATTCAATATCAATATCTTATTAATTATTGATTTCATTAAAAATACTGAAATTAAATCCTATTCGTAAATGAAATTTAATCCTGTTCCAATAATAATGATATTATTAAATACAAATGATATTAATAATAATTATAACAAATAATATATTATATACTTATATACTTATAATAAATATATACTTATTACATGAATATATAATAAATCAGTTTATTATTGACTTAATTATTAATTAACACTATAATTATATTAACAAATATTATTGATAATATCATTTCAATAAAAAAACTTATTTTTAAAAACCAATTGCAATAAATTCTAATTTTGTTACGTATTGTTTTTTTTCGAAATTTTAATAAAATTGTTTTATTTCGAAAATTAATAAAAATATAATTAGAAGTTTGTGTCTTTTATAGTAACTGTTTTATATTATATTTCTCTAAAATAATTGATTAAAATTATTATTCATTTAAGTATTGTATCATTCTATTATTGTATAATATTTGTATAATAATTTAATACATATTTTAATAATCATATATTATATATCTCATAATGATTATGATTATATAATAATTATGATTATGTTCATTCAAAAAAGAATAGATGAAAAAAGGATAACTAATATCTCAGATATATTAATTCTTTCTAAAAATAAACATTTTTTATATGCTTTTATATCAAAATTTATTTTAATCTTTTCTGTTTTCACACACACACACCTGCTAACATGTCTAATGATAAATATTATTATTATTATTATTTACATAAATTAAATATAATTTCATATTTTTAAATTAGTTTATTTACTAAATAAAAAATGAAAAATTAACAACCATAAATTTCCTGTTAAAATACTTAATGTTTCACTAATAAATGTATTAAAGAACGAAATAAAAAAAAAAGAAAAAAAAAAATAATATTTAATATAATAAAGTAAAATAAAACGAATATGCTATTACAATCATCTTACAACATTAATTTTGATTAATATATATCTAATGATTCTTTAGTTGGCAGAGTTTATTTGAATGCTGAGAATAGTAATAGTTCAGATATATAATTTTATTTGCGTGTTTGATAATCGTAATTTTGGTTTATATTATTGGCTATTATTTAGTAATAATCATAATCTTTTAAGTAAAGATTATAATATAATATTAATAAATATAATTATAATAAAGAATATTAATACATAATGTAATTTTTAATGTTGCAAAATGTACCGCTAGACATTTTAATTTTAATAAAATTAAAATTAGTTATATTAAACAAGTAGAATAATGTAATTAAACAAATGAAAAAATAAAATTATAGCGTTTTAAAATGGCAATACACGTGTCTTTGACCGGACATATTTTTAGCATTTCTAGACAGATTTTGTCTCTGGCTCTTTAATGTATAAGTGTTCGATATAGAATTCGAAATTAGTATTAAGATGAATTTCTTTGTTAATATTTGCCCATCGAAAAGAGAAGAAATAACATTCAATCATGATAATAATTTCTTTCAAAAATATCCGAATATACATAGATTGCTCATAAGAAACTGCAATTTTATTCAAAAAAGTAAATGATTGCTGTTTGAAAAAATAATTGAAGAAGCTGCACAATTGATCAGAAACCGCTTTTTGTAACCAGTCAACGTGGAAGGAAAAACCGGTCACAGTAAAAAATAATATGTGGTCAACGACTTTGGAAAGTATTGAGAAAATATATTGCAAAAATTATTTTTAACAATATTCTTTCGAATTTCGAATGATAATTATTCTGTTAATTATTCAATTAAGTATATTAAACAAAGACTAAATTAAGAATTATTATACTATTATAACACAATATTTAAAAGACGATAAAATCTTTTGTAAATATATGTATAATTTTTTAATTTTTTAATGACATTAATTAATTTTATTAATTAAGTAATTAGAATGATTTATTTCATTAATAAATTTATGTAAATTTGTTTTTTATTATATTTATTATATTCTTTATTATATTCATATATTATATTTATTATTCATAATAATTCTGTTTGTCAATATAAAATTGGCAATAACATATGTAAGTAATTAGTGTTATTTTCTTTTTTACAAACTTAATAAAAAATTAATTTCATAAAATATAAATATAAACATATGAAATTATAAATATAATATGAAATATAATATGAATATAAATATGAAATTATATTTTATATTACAATATTAATTATATTTTTTTTTTTATTCATTAAATTTTTTATATTATTAATATATATGTTAATATTAAAAATGAAATTTTATTTAGTTGAATAGATAAAAGATTAAGTACTAGAATTACATTATTTCTAACTTTCAATGTCAAGAACATGTTCATGATTTAAAAGATTGATCGTAAAAATATTGAATTTAATTGCAAGGAAATGTAAGGAAAACGTGGCGATTGCCTATTGCAGGAACGTCGCAAGAAATTTTAAGAACCCTCTATATAAACTAATGAATAATAAAAGAAATTTATTATGATTAAAAATATTTTATTTTTTACTCACAATATTCTCCCGTACTGTGTTGTGAAATAATTGTTCTCTAAGATCAGCTTCATCTTCCATCTTCACCTATTTGTCAATAAATTTCTTTGGATTGAACGTATTGTTGACGACATCAGTGACATTTTTTTATATCAATAATCTTTTCACACAACATGCCCAGATTTTCACGACTGACGTCCGATGTCTCACTTTAAGACAAGAGCTTCTGCTTTTCGTAACTAAGAATAAGAAGCTGTTGCCATTACTTTATGAAATGGATCACATTTCTCCTCTTATTAGCTTTTATATTCATATAAAATTAAAAGATACAATCAACAATTTTTCACTATGGCTAGTAGCCTACTAAATATGGTGCATCGTTTCTGTTTTAATGACAACCCGCCATCTATATATGTTCGGGTCACTTCTTACGCACTCTGTGAGATGAAAACGAAACTTATATGATTTAATATTTCCCTCCACTTTTCATTCGTTAAGATTCAAATTTAACACGATATGGATCTTTGATTTTTTTTTTATTCAGTTTATTTCAAAAGTAATTTATTTATAATTTTTTTAATTATGAAATTTTACATTCGTTTATTTTTAGATTATGAAATTTCTTCAAATCTAGTTTTTTAGCAATAGTTTTAAAAGGTGATCATTTTAAATATCTATAATTTTTTAATATTTTAAGATAAAAAAATTTCAGTAAAATTTCGTAAAAAAATTATTAATTATTAGCAAAATATAAATAACTGATTTATTTGAATTTTTCAAAACGATGACTTATAAAATATATGCTGTATAAATATAAACTTGCAAGTCTATTATGAATTTTCCTAAATGATAAATAGTTGCAAACTTTTTTTTACTTGAATCTAATCGATTCATAGTAGATTATATTTAATGATATAATACGATGATATAGTAAACTATATTATTTACATAAAAACAAAAGTTGTGCTGGAATTATCTAAAAAATATCGTACATAAATATTACAAAAATTAAATTTCATTTTTTTTATCGAAACTCGTATATTTTTACAATGCATGCTTAATCGCGTAAAAATCGTAATAACAAAATAATTATAATATCCTATTATAATTTATGTATGTAATAATATTATGTATATATATATATACTATATGTATATACGTATATACATATATAAGTTTAATAGTTGTTATATAAGTATACATTTTTATTTTTTGTATTACATGCATATTTAAATCATAAATTAACTATTGCAATAGAGATCAAATTTTTTAAAATAGCATTTTGTAGTTTTTCATTGAGTAATATCTTTATTAATAAAAATGTGATATTATTTAGTATTAACAGTGATTCATTTTTTCTCCTGAGAGCAATAATTTAAATTATATCAAATATATCATATAAAATTCACTATTAACAATATTAAGTGATTTGCCATTGAAAACAGAACTAATTGAAAGTTTATTTCGCTTCATAATTAACTTTATGATTTATTTATTATTTTTAATGTATATATATATATATATATATATATTATATTTGTTTATGTATATGATATGGAACACATTTACTGCCAATAAGGCAATGAATTCCATTTAGGCAAATTTAATTAAGTATCACAGACTCTTAATTTTACCAAAGAATATATTTAACATATTGTTTTTATTAATAAATTTCCGAAAATATTCTATTTTTTCATATAAAAATTAATATTATTCATGTAAAAATAAATAATTTTTTTTCTATTAGAACAGATAATTCAATTTGTTCAAATTAAAATAAAATATGTAGAATTTCATTTTAATTTAAAATTCAAATAAATCTTTCAATAAAATAAACATAAAAATAAACTTATTGGGGATAAAATGTGTTTGGGTATAATAAGTTACAACTGTTTATATTGTGATGAAAGTTATTATATAAATTTTGATGTTTAGAAATATCAATCTTTAGACAAAATTAAAAATCTGTGTAAATTACATATCTAAACAATCCTCATAGTGCACTGCATACATCTTACATTAATAACAAAGTATCAATATTAAATAGCTAATCTGCTTACAAGCCTCGTTTAGGTAGAAAATTCTGCTTGAGACTTGAATTTAGTAGGATTCTCAATAGCAGTCCATTTAAAAATGATTGATAATTATTGAAGAATTAATTTAGTTATTATACAGCTACTTCTCCAAAATTCATATGACCTGTTTCCTTGGCATGTTGCCGAGCCTCCATATGACCATTTAATCTGATTTTACAATCATTACATATTAACATAAACTTTTGAATGTCTGTGAATTGACGACTAGATTTTACTTCTTTTGCAAGTTCAGCTGCTTCAAATAATATTTTCTCATCTTCAGTAGGAAAGATTGTTTGAATGCTGCTACCCTGTAAGTGTAAATAGAAAAAATGCAATAAAAAAAAAATTATATTACATTATATATATATATATATATATTTTAAGAATATATAAAAAATTTTACTCACATCAAGTGGTTCTAAATATAAAGGATCATAATGAATTCCATCAAATATTAGAAAAACTCTTTGAGGATAATGTTGATCTTCTCCAAATCTATTGATTATAGCATTAATACTATCAATTACTGCTATCTCTAATCCATAAAATTTAGATAATATTGACAGTTCTATAGCTCCACCCCATGATTCTGGTTTTAAAATCCATTTACAATATTCAGGATTTGGTTGGCCCAAAAAAGCTTCTGAATATTCTTCAGGATCAGATGCTACTGCATTTGCTATAATCTCTCTCATAAAATTTGAACAGCTAGGATCCACTTTACCTGAAAATATATTTATAAATATATTGCAATTTCTGATATGAATACATTTATACAATTTATATCATATACCATTGAGTACATAGCCAACACTGGTAAACAAGCAAGAATTATCTGCAGGTACGACCTTTTTCATTAATACACCAGGTGTATTCGTGAAATTTTTCTCGTCAACAATGTGTGTTCGTCCGATTTCTTCCGATTTCTGTTTTCCATTATAAAGTGGCGATTTTTCTTCAACAATCAAGGTATCTCCTGAAATGATCCCGGACACTTCAAGCGAATTTGTTTCGTCATTTAGATTAATTGGCCTCGGTGGAAAACCACCAAGAACGTGAAGTGCCTCTGCTGGTATTCCTGTTATTTCAACAAGTTTTGATCGTAATTTGCCAAGTTTATCCTGCGGGAGCAATCCATTCACGACCTTTTGACCTGATTTCGTTTTAACTCTTAATACATATTCGGCCATCGTTTATCACGAATCACCTAGCTAACTGGAAACAAGAATTTTGCTTGGAGATTGTGCTAGTTGATCAGCTGTTGAAACAGCGCCACAAGATTTTCCTTGACTTCAAGGAAGATTATATCATTGGACGGAACACGGTGTCGATCATTTGCAATATACATATATGTCTACTTTTTTTCATCAATATCGACTATCTTTTGCGATTCATCGTTGCACTTAACACAACTAAATGCCGTAATTTTCACTACCGAACGTTATCGCTTGTTGGTTATAATGAGCGCTTTTAGATATTTTCTTGCCGTTACGTTGCCATGTTTCATCTTTCTTTAACTTATAATCTAGATATTCAGCAATACAGGATAGGTTATGTTATCAATGTGAACATTCATTTTTAGTTTTATGATTAAAATTACTATATTACTATATTAATTAATTAAATAATACAATTTAATAAATGTCTATAAAATATAGTATTAAATATATTATTTTAATTTGGATTTAAAATTCAATTTTAAAATTTTTTTCTTTTTTATAGTCTTTTTCTTTAAAAATTTTTTATATTATTATACTACATGATAAATTTCATATTAAATTTGTAAGAAAAAATTTATTAATAGCATTTTTCGTATAATGTTGCGATTAATAACTTTAACTTCGAAATTATTAACCTCAAAATTGTATATTCTAAAATCATGTTAATAGGTTTAAGTTTAGGAATGCAGGTATTTTTAAATAAATATATAATGATTATAAAGATTAAATAGCATTTTTTGACATATATTTATAAATAAAATATTTTATGAAATACTTATTTTGGCGCGCAATTTAAAATTTAGTCGCGTCTATACATTATCTTATTTAATTTATGATCATATTATTTAATCTTCTTTAAAATAGTAAATATAAAACATTCATAAAATAAATATTACATATTTACATGAATCTGCTGTTAAAATAAAAATATACTTTTTTTTGTTGAATATCTTTCATAATCTTATAAGAATCGAAACATTCGTAGAAATCGAAACATTTTCTTCGATCATTATTATCGTAATAAATACATTATTAGTTTTTGTAAAAATATAATTCGAACGCTGAGACAATTTTTGTCAGTGCGTATTGATTGTTCTTCCACTTCTGGAAATATTTTTATCACTCAATTTTCCTCAGGAGATGAGTCGTACTTCAATTACTCGAGAGTTTCTTTTCCTGTTTTTGGCAACAAGAAAGACATAAATCCACATACTGAAAAAAAAGTATTAACAAATTAATTGATATGTTTAATATTGATATAGAGAATATTTAAAATAATAATTCTTTTTTTCATTAAAAATTTACTAATACCATAATATTAATGATATTCATTTATAATATATATGTATCAAAAGAAAACTATCGACAATGTGATCACCAGCCGCCGTACCGATTATTAATAGTTTTTTTTATTTGCAGATCTTATCATAAATCGTTTAAATTAATAAAAATTAATAATTGCAAATTTTCGGTATCTAAATTTTGGATACTAACATATATTATATAATGTATATAATATATCTATTATGCTATAGTACATATATATTTATAATATACAATACTGTATTTAATATATATGTATATATATATATATATATTATATATATATATAATATTTAGCACATAATTTAATAATTATTGTTAATATTTTAATATATTTTTTTTAATAAGAATTCTTAATATTTAAATAACTTACCGAATAAAAATGCTGCGAATAAAACTATAGGAATCACACAAGCTAAGTCAATTAGGTAGCCGAACACTAAATTACCGACTAGTGCGCCTAATCGACCCATGGTGAGAGATAAAGCCGCAGCCATTACTCTAAAAATTAAATAATTTGTTTTCTGAAAGAAACATTGATGAAATAAAAATAAACTACTTCTTCAAATATAAATATATGTATATAATCTGCATACATACATGTATTATCGAAGAGGTTATAATTTTTTATAAAGAAACAATTTTAATATAAAGAATAAAATTTGTTTAAATAAAATTTCGTTATTTTATCATAATGCAATAAATATTTTAATTTTTTGAATTTTTTATAAATTAAAATTTATTTAAAATTTTTTATAAAATAAAATTTAGATGGAAGAAAAAATAATTGAAAAAAATATCAAATAAAAATCTATTATGTTAAAAATTCCATACGAAAATATAAATTGATTGAGAAAAAATTGTAAATGAAATATCGTATACTTGATATATTTTTAAAATTTTATTCTTCATTTTCAATTTGTCTTTTTTATGAAGAATTTCAGTAGTATATGAAACTACACATGTATGTATATTTTCTTATGTAAACGTACGATCGATATTAATTTCAACCTGTGATATTATTAAACATAGAAATAATTTTTTTTCATACATTTTTTTAAATTATTGATTATATCCATCTTATCATAACAACGCAATTTCTATGAAATAAATTTTTTCCATTTTACAATTTATTCGATGGTATAATATATTAATTATTGGTATCTTATTTTATGCATCGCAACAAACTGACGTAACGATGCAATTAGATAAACTGTGAAATTATAAGATTAAAATTCGTGCAAATACATCGTTTACTGTTATACCATTGTTTTGTCCTCGGTTGTCATCAAGTAATTAGTTACAGAAATGGTTGTAAATCTTTTTGACAGTGGTATTTGCTTGTTTCCCTAATAAATAAATCAGACGATATTCTGAGTGATTTGCTTACCTGAGATTCGTCGGGAACATGTCGACGATTACGCAATAAACCAGTGAGATACCGAGAGATGTCAGAGCCTCGAACACGCAGGATAATATCAAATTTTGTGTCGAATTAACGACATAATAGAAGCCAATCGTTACTGCTCCGGAAACTAACAGTGACATAACTGAAATTTATATATACAGTTAATTTATATAAAATAAAATATCAATATAACATTAATTTTGCAATGATTATCTTTTTTATTTTTAATTTTTATTTTTTATTTTTTTTTTTTTGTCTATTAAATAGTACATTAGGATTTGTCATATTTTCATATTTGATGTATCTTTTTATTTACATTTTGATAAAGATTCTGAAAAAATCCATTGATTTTCAAATATTTTCTTTTAGGTTATGGAATATATTATATGAAAAGTCATTTTAAAATTGTACTCAATTATAAAAAGTTTAGAAAAAAAATGATTTATTATAATAATATTTATCAAACATGCACATATGCATATTAATATATGCATTTTAAAAAATTGCATATTATGTTTATATATATTATGATATACATACTCAAAAAGAATTTGGCGCCAAGTTTGTGCACGAAAATCGGTAAAATGATGGAACCAGGTATACAGGCGAGTCCTATGTAAACCGTGTGAAGATAAACGGAAGGCGCTATTATGGTATCACATCCGTAAGCGTCGATTTGAGTTCCATTATTGGACAAAGCAGATACTATACAAACCGATGTGGTTTTATTCGGATTTTCGTGTTCAAATTGTTCGAATCTATAATTATCAAACAAAATTATTAATTATTTTTAATAATTTTTTCTTATTCAAAGAAAAATTAATATTTAAATTGATATTGACGAAATTTTATTTTCAAGAGAAAATTCAAAATTTTCTCTTATCAAAATACAATGTATTTTTTTTAATGTGTACTTTTTTTAAGTAATAATTATGAATTGTATCTTAAGAGATAGTTATAGTACTTTTTATTTTCTTTTTCTTTTTTTTTTTGTTTTTTTTATTTTGAGAAAGATACTGCATATAAACATGATGTACCTAGTGAATAATTCTGGGAACCAAACCATGAGAGTATAGTAACTACTGGTGAGACCAAATTGAATGCCACAAGCGAGTAGCGTATTTTTAAGATACGGTTTTTTACAGAGAGCAGTTGTTAGATCTTTTACTTCTTTCAAAAGAACCTTTAAATCCTTTCTTTTGTGTAGTTTCAACGACCTCATGTTCTTTTCTTTGTTTTTCTCTTGCAACGATTTTACCTGAAGAAAAAAATAAAAAATAAAAAATAAAAACGTATGATTGAGATTATTTTTTATAAATTATGCAATACAGGATGTTAATATATATATTAAAATAATAGTTGTGTATCTCATCTAACACATAATTTATTACTAAAATTTATCAATAATAAGATTACATTTTTGTAAAATAATTATAAATTATCTTTATATAAATAACTACTATAATAAGTAATTATATTAATGATATGATTTTTAAAAAATTAATAATAAGAAGTTACATTATTATTCTGAATCATTCATATTCATTCCTATAGAATATTTTTAAAAAAAAAGTTTCTAAAGACTGAAACAAATACAAAAATTGCAAAAATATCTAGGTTAAGACTTATTTATTAATTATTTATAATTAATAAATAACTAATTGAATTTTATGTTAGAAATGAGAAATACAGTAATTCTTGCACTTTATTTCTTCTTGCATATAAATTACTAAATTAAATTAATAAATAAATTTCACAACCAATATTTTTGTATACCAACTTTTGTTAGATAGATCTCTAGACGTGACTCTTCAAAGCTATTCCATAATTATATTAATATCCTGAATATATATGGAATATGAATTTTAAATTACCGGATAAGAGTCAGGATCTTCCCCAGTGTTCTGCGAATAGATCCATTTAAATACTTCGAGTGCTGCATCGGTTTCACCGCATTCAAGAAGAAATTTCGGACTCTCTGGGAATGCGAACAGCCACAGGCCTAACATCAACGAGGGTAGAGCGCACAGCGCTACGAAGAGATTCCATGACTTAAAGTAAAACGTGTCCGTAAGATACATGAAGTTCATCGGTATAATCAGCCATGCGATCACTGGATAAAATAAATAAATAAATAAATAAATAAATAAATTAATTAATCAATTAATTAATTGAATTGAATATGAGAAAGAATGCATATACGACATTTTAATCATATCTTAAATCTGAATATTTTTTAATTTACCATAATTTGAATATGAGGTTGCTAATGCAAGAAATTAATTTAATTTTATTTCGATATTATATTATGATTATTTTATTGAATATATATTTTTTTTATTATATATTATTATTATTATTTAATATTGGAGAGGAAGTAGCATTTTGGTAATTTCACGTTAATAGTATCTTGACAAATATCAAAGTATCAATAGAGAGTTTAAAATTTCTCTTTTATCATAAGTATGAAAATTAGTAGTTCATTAAATAAATATTTTATATTAAATCGTAAAATAATAAAACTT